TTTTTTCATATCGTTTTAGTTCAAAATGGCGGGAGAACCGAGCAAATTTTTTTTCCGGATTATCTGGATACCAGATAAATGGTTCTCTACTGTATGCATGAAAAAAAGAGTTGCAGACTTAGCTCTCCGCAATTAAGTCTTGCTAAAGTCATTGGTACATGATTTGTTGAAATTGATCCATACTTCCGTTTCGACTTAAGACATCCTTGAAATTTTTTTTTTTTAAATATACGAAGACTAAACGAATAATTGATATCACGTTGCTAGTTTACGAGCTTGTTGCCAACCGTGGAAAAATACGCATTAAAAACTATAAAAACAGCAAGATACAATATCAATTCCAACTATCGAGAGTACGAGTTTCCCCACTCCTGAACGGACGTCACTCGATAACGACATGTGACGTCATTGCATTCAACTCCACACGAAAGAAGAGGAAGATTTCACCCGCCCCCAGTGTAAGGGGGCGGGTGAAATAGGAGTGTTTTTAGAGGTAACGTTGAAGAGGGGGGAAAATAAAGCATGTTCAGCTACGCTTCAGGCAGATGGTAGTTTGATAAGAGGGGATGGAATTCAAGCTGAAAGAAAAACTTACCTTCGCACTCGCGGAAAAATTAGGTAATTTTGAGTTTGGCCGTCGATCGCAGTAAAATTCGGGAGTTTTTCAAATCAATTCCGGAGGGCGGGAGAATAACTCAAAATTCGGAAGACTCCCGCAAAATGCGGGAGAGTTGGCACGTCTGTATTTTTTATTAATTTTATTTAAAAACAGTCTAAAAAATTTTGAATTACAAGGTAGAAATTTTTTTATGTCATTTTAAAGAATGTAATTTTAAATGGCAAAATACAAAATTCCAGTGAAATCGGTCAAATAGTTCCTGAGAAATCAAATTTTAAAAATGTGACTTTTAGAAAAAATAAAAAATAAACAAACTTTTGTTTGAAGAAAGAACCACAAGATACAAAAATTTGCCCAGTTACATTCTAAATTATTATATCAGAACTAAAAGAACAGCTCAATATGAAATGAGTTGATTTAAACATATTTTTAAGATGCATTTCAAATAAATATGTTAGCTTTTACTGAAGAAAAAGAATGCATCTGTGTCACTTAAGAATTTTATCTACAAAAATTTAAGTGAGCAAAGCAGAATATCAGAATCCAAAATCCAATAAAACAGATCTTTTAGTGATGTGTCAACAAGAGTATTTTGTATAATTATCTATCTTCTGTAAATTTTTCAACAAAAAAATAAGCACCTTTTAAAAACGCTACACACCCTGTCAGTAGTTTTTCTAAATACTTAAATTGTTATTTCATATATCTTTGAGTCACACTTATTTTAACTCATAAGATATTTTGCTCTTCTTTTCTTCTTCTAGGGACTCAGTGTTTCTTCCGATTAATTCTTTCCTTTTAGTTTTTTCTGGTAAAGGGATAATAATGGTAAAAACGAAATTGTTTTAAACCCCCCCCCCTCAAATACGTAAATGTTAAAGAAATTTGCAAAATTAAAATTATGAGCAGCTTTAGGAAGAAATGTGTAATAATACTTGATAAGTGGAATAAAGTTCTGGTTAAAAAGAACATTGATAAAGTACCTTTTCACCTAATATTTCTGCTTAGGGACATGATCTATACGAATACTACTTTCAAATAAGACTACATGGGATAAGATAAACTTACCATGATTTGTAACAAATAGTGGTAATCACAGAAGTAGTTTTATGGATTACTGCCCAGAGATGCTCTTTTGTTTAATTAACTTGATTCCATCGAAATATTAAAAAAAAAATTTTTTTTTTAAAAATTAATGAGATATTTTTATTTTAGCTAGCTGTAGTGAATACAAAATTTTCAGAATATTTATGAGATAAGATAATTTCCTATAAAAGAAATCAGCAACTGATTTACTCATCTATTAAACACTATATTTTTTTATTCTTACATAATCAATGAGAGCATTGAAGTAGTATCATAATGTATGAACAAGAAAAAAAAGTAAGAGTTCCTACATACTTGGTCAATTTTTCCCAGCATGCTTCACACACTCTGACGTCTTTCTCGATACCAAAGCGGGGAATGGGACAGCTGCGAGACGAGCACTTGTTGCAAAATATCTGACCGCAATTCCTACAATGATGCTGTATAAAATACGGAATTAGAATCGAAATAAAACTTAAATTATAAAATCGTTATATCTTTTTATAATATAAATAAAAAATAATATTTTTAAAAACCACGTTTTTGTAGTGGAGAATAATAATTTAAACAAATTTGAAAAACAAAAAACGTGGGGCGCATGAAATACATAACAGTAATGTTATATTAGTGTGTGTATGTGTGCTCTTGAGAATATGTGTATGTATATCTGTAATTGTAATTGTATCTGAATGTGGATGTGGAATATGTTTGTGTATATGCATATGTATGTGGATGTATATGTGGCTGTGCATGTGTATGAGTAAGAAAATGTGTATATGTATGTGTATATGTACTGTTATGTATTTCATGCGCCCCACGTTTTTCGTTTTTCAATTTTTTTTTAATTATTATTCTCCACTACAAAAACGTGGTTTTTAAAAATATTATTTTTTATTTTGAATTTTTTTATTTTAAATTATAATTTTTTTAATTTTTATTTAATATTTTTTAAAAATTATTACTTTTTAATTATTATTCTTCACTACAAAAAACGTGGTTTTTAAAAATATATATTTTTATTTAGATTATTTTTCTTAGTCAAGAGTAGTCAAGACTACTACAAGACCACTACTAAAATAATAGAACTTTCATTTTAAATTAGGGATACAAAAATCTTTATAGAAAAACAATACCTTTACGACTTTCATTAGTTTTATGCTGATGACAACCAAAACAATCTGGAAATGAATGAGGAAAAACTGGATCCTACCACGTGATTTTTCAGCCAATAAAAATACTCCGACAATAAAAATCTTTTCACCTGACATGTAATACTAATTTGAAATAATGGAATCGACAACAAAAGACAATCTCGAAAATAATTTTTTTTTTAAATTTTAATTTTATTTTACTTTGTATGTCTTTTTTCTCTTCATTTTCATGCATTGTCATCCAATTCTGAACTGCCAAATTTGAAGTTTGTAGCTAGTCGGGAAGTTAGTTTAAAACTGATTACAAAATTCCACCCGGACAGACATACACGAAGGCAAGTTTATATAAACGTGGTAATAAAAAGGAGGGTTTCTGTCAGTTAATGAGAGGGCAAATAGGCGCAAAGACGCATGTGGGTATGATATTGTTAATAAATCAATATAAATTTGTCTGAAATGAGTTTTGAAATAGTTTATATAACAAAATATGTCAATGTATGTCAGTTTATACATTTAGTTTTTATGTTAAAACTTAATTTTTCAGTCAAAATGTATTTATTTAAATTAAATAACTAATCTAAAATGAAATTTCTAAGTAGATCTAAAATATAAAGTAGAAAAGTTTATCAATCTGCAAAGCCTTATTTTAGTATCATATTTTACATGTACAGTTAAGAATGCTTTTTAAAGGTCTTTAATGATTATAAAATATTGTTCAGATATACTAAAGGTAAACTGTAAGCTTTTGCTAACTGTACGCTCACTTATTATTTCCAAATCAGACTATAACTTCGAGTATTTATGTAAAAAAAAAAAAACATTTTTCTTTTCAAATTTAATGCTATTACTTATATGTATTTGATTTGAAACAGTATCCAATAAATACTTTTTTGAATAACACCTTTTATTAAAAAATATTTAATTTCAATTTTCTCAAAAATTAGTTATTACATAGAGATGTGATATTTAACACTGACAATTAAATTATAAAACTTTCTCTTGAGGTGAAAAAAATTATTAATATGAATATATAATTTATTACTAAATAAATAAAATATTTTGTAAATAATAGATCAATAAATCCTTTTGAGATCCATAAATTTTGTTAAACAAGAAATTTTAAAATGAAAAGGGCCCTTTCTTTCATTAGCAATAAACCTATTTCTCCCAAAACAGGTTTTTTTCCTCAGTGGAAGAAAATTGCTAACTCTGTTAAATATTAAAATTAAGTTATATGTTTTATGCCCTTGAAATCATATGAACATTAATAAAGTATTGTGATATCAGTAAATAATTTATTAATAAAGAAATAAATTATTTAAATAAACAATCAATAAAATACTTATTTAATTAATTAGTAATTTCAAATATAAAAACTCATAATTTTTTTATTTATTTAAATACTTAACACACTATTATCATTTAGGAATGCAACATTAGTCCAACTAAATATAAGGGCAAATAAAGAATAATGTATTACTTATATGCAAAAAGAGTTTTCTAAAATAAATTACTTTAAAAAACATATTTCTGGCAAAATTTTCGTAGTTTAAGAGACAGCTTTAAAAACAAGTAAAAAAAACATGATTAAAAAATAACATCTAAAACCATGAACAGAAATGTTAATTTATGAAACTTCCCAAATTAATAAAACTAAAATGCAATGATTTTAATAACAAATAGCATGTTCAAATGGATGAACTTTTCTTCTTAGTAATCAACAAACAACTATCATTGTAAACAAAACTCATTTGGATCTCAAACACATATTAAATTCATAAATATACTGGTATTTATAAATTTGGGCTCTTCTCAGAGGCCAATATTATCGGTATTTTAAACAATTTTTTTAAAAAAAAAGGTATTATCTTGGTTAGGGTTTCTCCAACAGATTACCTTCCTTTGAATAACAGTAAATTGAGTTCTGCATCGATGACAACAACTTCCGTCCGACCAGTCAGGAGCAGTATCAGCAACAAACATTGCATCACTTTCCTTCAAAATTTGCAACTTGTAGCCTAATTTGAAACACAATATTATTTAGTGTTAATATTCACATTCAAATACTTCAATTATTTTATTGAAAAACATACATTTTCTTATCCATCCATTTAATATACAGTGCACTCCCGATTATCCGGGTTAATCACCGGGACAGGTCGCACGGACAATCGAAAAACACGGATAATCCGAAAACTCCTTTCATTAAAGAAAAATTCAATATCAGTACAAAAAATATAAAAATTACTGACATTTGCATGCATAACATCAAACTAGGAATTTTCCTTATTAAAAAATGTGTAATGCGTCTTCGCCATATATCGATACACATATTTTACGAACCGCATTAATGTCACCGTAATCAAATCCTCCCATATAATCTAATAAAGTTTCCACAGAGCAGCAGAATGAGAAATTGTATTTCATTCATTTACTACATCTTCTGCATCAGTTACTATCATCACTATTTGATTTAACAACATAACGATGTCTTCATCAGTCAAATACTGGAAGCCATACTCACATGCATCACTTTGAAACCAATCTTCTAAATTTTCTTCATCAAGAATTTCGAACAGTGGCGTACGCAGAATTTTTTCAAGGGGGGTGTTCATAATTTTCTGAAACTACTAAAAGAAATTCGAGTCTGTAATACAGCACTATTATTTCCCTAATTTAGACAGCTAGACAATTTTGACTTTTTATTTAGACAACATTGTTTAGTTAAATTTTGATTTGATTTTTTAAGTTTAAGAACTTAAAGTAATATCTTCTAAAAAAAGTCCAATGTCATATGGGTGGGAAGTAACACTTTGAGGGCCACTTTCACATTCATCAGATTTTGTTATGCTAGAAACGTTTTCTTCAACGGAAGTATCACAATTCTGTACAACAGAAAAACGTTCAAAATTCTCGAATTGTCTCAAAGACGACAGAACGTCTAGGATTCCAGAATCATCGCGTAAAGACCTCGCGAATGACAGCCAGTCTCGAAAACTGTACTGGCAGGACAGAAAGGAACCAGTCCGTAACAGTATCACGTGAATTTGGTTTCAAAAGTACAACCCTATTATAGTAAACTAGGAGGCTTCGCTCCCTGCTCGCTAGCGCTCGCCAACCCCCGGAACTGCTTCCGCAGTTCATTTCCGAAGTTCCGAAAACTTTTCACTGTAGAAAAGTCGAAACCTGTGCATTTCAATATTAATTTGAAATTGCAAACAGTTCACATATTTTTCTAGAAGATATGCAAATGTCTGTCTTCAAACCGCGATTGTTCCTTTGAACAATTTAATTATAGATATTCGATTTCGTTGACGTCTACGTTTCTTGCCATTCCGATGCTATATTTCTATTTAGTCACGTGTTTCATACCTTCACTCAATCTTTCACTTCCGGTGTAGAATTCAGACGATCGAATTTCGTTCCGTTTCTTGCAACCAGATGGCAGTGAAACTAACTTCTTTCCCCCCTTTTCTCAATGGAATCGCGTCTCCGCAGCCGGACCGCAGCGCGCGAGGGCGGAATTTTCCACCCGGCCCTTCCGATCCGGATCATGAATGTCCGTGGGTGAAAGAACCGAGTCCGGGGTGTGTTGGAGGTCCGGTGGAATTTTTTTTAGAAGGGGCGAGCCACCATCATGGCCCGCCGCCATGGAGAATGATCTACCGTTATATGTACTACATGAAATTTGGACAAGAAAATCCTAAAGGCAAAAGTAAGAAACACACTTAACCTGCTGTAATGTTTTCTTTCTTTTTTTTTTTTAGTTTTAATTCCATTACTACTTTACATTATAAAATTTTATATTCCATTTCGTGGTTAAAACATAAAAATCAATCAAGTCTATCATGTTATTATGAAAAAAATAAATTTAATTCATTAAATTAATGTATATTAGTTATTAAATGAAACTAGTGTAAAGTATTATCATTTATTGATAGAAAACAGGTCATTATATAGATCCAAATGAAAAATCAATGTTATAAGATGTTAGTCTATACACACAAATATAACCATATTTATCTTCATATTAGTTCAAATTAACCCTTGTAAGTGGATTTAAGTAAATATATTGGGAATTCTCTTAGCACTACATTTTCCATATACTTTGTCTAAAGTTGATTAATATATATGAATAAAAAGGAATACAACGAAACTATTTCAGAAGTCAATTTAGTTTGCCCTTGAAATTGTAAGCCCTTAAATCTACCTATAATGCTACGTTCATCTTTCGCCTCAAACGAATAGAAATAAAGTCTGTGCTTTCTGTTCACTCACTAAATTAAGTAACCATGATAATATTGCTTTCACTTTCACTGTTATAAAATCTACTTTTTTTTCGAAATTCATTACTCATACTGTATTAATCTACATTTTTCTTTCAATTCTGTAATTTTCCTAATAATATTCTATATCAGAGTTTCTTAAACTGTGGGTCGCATCCTCAATCATGAGACAATAAAAACAACGAAAAAAAACGATTTGGCTCATTTTTATTTATAATAGTGTAAAGTCCAGAAATATTTAAAAAAATAATTGGCTAGCAAAAGCATGAATAAAAGTAAAAATATTCAAAAATAACGGGCTAGCAAAAGCATGAATAAAATAAACCAAACACATAAAGAGATAATAAAAAAATAAAAGCAGACGATAAAATTAGAAGCACCGGACAGTTTTTTGAACAACAGAGTTGTTGGGTTTTTTAAACTTTGTTTTGGAATTTGAGTTTTATTATAAGCCGTTATGGAATTTTCTAGTTTGTTTTACAAAATTATAACTATCCCGTTACGGGTACTTCATATTTGTTACTGTTCNGATCTTTTTCAACCTATTGCCAAACAAGACTTTGACAATTAAAGGTGAAAATTGCCATGGAGGAAAGCTTTCAAAAATGCGCTTGACTGTTTTGCTCTGTGCAAATGCTGATGGAAGCCAAAAGTTAACGCCTCTAGTGATCGGTAGAGCAGAGAAACCACAGTGTTTCAAAAATATCAAGAGTTTTCCTACCAATTACGCTTCAAACAAAAAAGCATGGATGACTCAAACATTATTTGAAAATTTTCTTTGAAAACTGGATAAGAAAATGAGTTTTCAAAAGCACAACATAATTTTATTCCTCGACCAATGCACTGCTCATTTAAACCTTAAATTGAAAAACATGCGAATAGAGTTTTTTCCAGCTAACTGTACGAGCCATCTTCAACCACAGGATTTAGGAATTATCCGATCATTTAAAGAGAGCTACCGGAAGCAACTGGTTAGAAAATCTCTAATGTTTCTTGATTTTGGTGACTTTCAGGATGCTTCTAAAGCAAAAATTAATGTTCTTGAGACTCTTAATTTGATATCTTCAGCTTGGGACAGTGTCGACCGAAAGTGCATTATCAATGGATTCAATAAAGCAGGATTTATCGGACGAGGGCGCTGCTGTTTTGGAAGAAGAAGAAGGCAGCGTGCCGGAAGTTGAGGATCTTTTGGAAGTTGATGGTACATACATCGACTGTGACACGGATCTCATTACTTCAAAAATCCCTTCCATAAGTGATTTAATGCTCGATTCTGACGATAGTGCTGAATGAAATAACTGAAGACGTGCCAACAGCTGATCAAGCAATACAAAGCATAAAAACTCTAAAACAATTTTTACTTGCAAATGTAAATCAAGAAGCAAATTTGCAAAAAATTGTTAGTACTGAACGAGCTGTAGATGAAATTGTAGCTAAAAACAAAAATGAAGTAAAGATTACTAATTTTTTCCATTAATTTAACTGGTAGGTGTCAATTTTTTAAAAATATGCATGAATTTTTCCTAATCCCGATTTTACACTATTGCGCTTTGAGTGTTTTTTATCGCTAGTCCGACCGAAAACGTAAAATCGTGGTTTCACTGTATTTAAAAATCAAAAAAATTCAGCACGTACAACAACAGTAGAAAAACCATTTCAGCAAACTTTTCTAATATTAAAATATCTACAAATTTTCCAAATGACACTTGCCACACAATTTTGAAATAATCATAAACAAATATTGAATTCCTTATGCGTTTGATGCAGGGTTCCTACTCTTTTAACATAGCAAAAACTAAGGACTTTTAAAGACTTTTTTTGAAAAAAATAAGGATTTTTTTGAAAAATTAGGGACCTAAAAATAGTATAATTGTTTATCATCGAATATACATATGCAATCAGTGACAATGACCTTTCGTAAGAAAGATATATACAAAGTTATAAAAAATTATATTTATATTCAATAAAAAACAATTTTATTACAATGCAAGTACCGATACAATTGTATTAATTAACAGGGTTCACTAAAGTAGGAACAGGCAACTTTTGCCTACCCGGGTTGGATCTTATGTAAAAATATTTTCAGATTGTTAAGAGTTAATGGCATGTATGAAACTAATCCGCATTCCATTTTCAATGATTTCATTAAAATTAAAGTGCAGAAATTAAGATTCAAATTTTTTTTTTTTTTCGTTTATGAAAAAAAGAAGAAATAAAGAAATTTGGAAAAAACATCGAAAAAATTATTAGAACAAGTTTCTTTATTTTACTGTGTCACAATTTCAGTTATGAGCAGTTTTGATTAATATTCAGTTATGCCAAAAAAAAATTCTTTCTTTTCTGTTAATAGAATGTTACATGGGTATATATTAAAAAATTTAATACTAAAAAGTTCAATTATAGTTACGCACGAAAGTAGTTTTCTTAACTATGACATGTATAATTAAGCCCTATTTCAAATAAATACAGGACCTACTAATATCTAAGCACCTTAAATCATTCCACTATTTTTCTATTAGGCCTTTAAATTCATTGTAATCTATATTTTATAGAATAAAAATACAATTATGCTTGAGAAGATTTATAATTTTTAAACCAATATGCTTTTTATATTAGTTTTCAGTGGAACACATAAATAAAAGAGTCAAAATGATTTTTCAAAGTTATATACACATTCCTATGGCCTGAAAATTGGTAAGGTTTCTTAATTAACAAATTCTGATAATTATTTTTTTTCTTCATCATTTACAGATATTTATTTGTAATATTTCTTTATCATCCTCTATCATTCTTAATATTTTTCTCTACTATTAGCATGATTTGATATTTTATTTTTATCCTAAATTAACAGTTTAAAACTGAAAGTGGTATTCTTTTATTATAAAGTAATCCGGCAATATCACCTTATCAGGTAATGTTGTAAAAACAATATTGAAAAGTTTGGAAAAACATATTGAATACAGTATGTAACTTAACCATTTTAAAATTATTACAAAACAGCAAATGTTTTATATTTACTTTTATTATGAGCTTTACATAAAAAAATTTCCAGTCAAAACTGTTATTAAGAAATTAAGAATTAACTTTACATAATATTACTACACAATCTAGCAAGAAACATGGACTAATTTTAAAGCAACCAAAAAAAAAGTATATTAAGTTGCAATGTTAATTGAACAAAATGATTAAAAAAAATCTAAATTTAAATTTTAATCTAATAGACATTAATAACAAAAAGTTTGGGATCTTTTAATTGAGCAGATTTAAATTTGTTACAAGTGTGCTTAGTTTTCGTTATGGATTCTAGTTCAAACATTTCTTCTGAAACTTCTTATCTTAGGGCTTTAGGTTGTTCTATATTTTCTGTTGATTTTAAAGGATAACTTGGGGTCTTCTACTTAGAATTAACTGCCCCCGCCCACAAAAAATGGTATGATTCCATGTCCAGTATCCCCCTTGTCCACACACTATTATTTTAATTTGGAATGCTTCACTCTCCTCATAGAGTATCATTCTAGGCAAAAGGAATAATATATTAATGAAAGGACATGTTTTCTTAAAAGTAGCTCCCTCACACACATTCCTTCTAGTTTCTCTAAAATGCTCTACTCTCGATGCATGGTTAAGCACTTTTAAAAACCTTGTACCAAAAGTAAGTACTTTTAAGGGCCCTTATTTTCCAAAATAAAAATTAAGCAGTTTTTAAGGACTTTTAAGGACCGTGGGAACCCTGGATAGGTTGTTTGTAGAAAAAACTTCTTTTATTCAAACACATTTCTTGGTGATCTTAGATTTCACAAAATATTTTGAATTGTCAAAATGTTTTTTCTTTCTGGTTTCCGAAGCATTTTAAATGCCTTTTTTCTAAATTCCAAATCTTAACATGCATCTCAAATATTTTTATGAATCATTTCAAAAACCTATTAAGATATTTGAAAAGAAATTACTGGAATTATTTATTCCTAAAGAACTAGACATGCAATATGAGTGTGTAGATTAGAATATTCACTCATAAAAGAGGAAAGAACCATAATCCAAACGAAACCGGAATTATGAAGGGGTAATTGTAAGCCCAACTCAAAAATCCTGAAAATTTCTTGAGTAAAATCATTAATGACAAATTAAAAAAAATTTATGTCTTTATAAATTTAAATCATCGATATTTAGATAACATGAAATTCTAAATAAATTATATGCAGCTTGATTTAAATGGATAATTATGTATAAGTTTAATTTTATCTCTAATCACATTTATTATTCTACCAGAAAAGGTATTTACAAATGAAAAAGATAAATTGTAGTTCTTGCCAAGTATAAATTGTAGTTAATAATATTTTTAAATAAATAACAAGAATTTTTATACATAAATGTGATTATTGATTTCTTGAAATTCCTGGACCTTGCATTTCCAGATACTTCTGGATCACAATTAGAGAAAAATACGGAAATAAAAATTTTTCCAAAGCCCAATTTTGTCACTGTAGACCAGAGTTCTAACCAAAACATCTCATTTGGCAATGTAACAAACAATAATATAGGCCAAAATATTAGATGTACAATTAAAAAAATTTCTAGCTTTTGTATTCAAAATAAAAAATTTTCTTTCTTTAGTTTTTTCCTTGACCACATAGCTTTATTTCACTCAATTAATTAGAAAAGAAATTAGAAATTCAATTAGAATTTTTTAACTCAATTGGAAAATAAAATAAAAATTTACTTATTTCAATATATTTTATAATGTTACTTATTATATGTTTCTGTAATTTGATACTTTTTTTAGAACTCATTCAGTTGTTTGAATAAACTAATAGTTAAGTTTAGATCAGTAACTTAGGGGTGGGGAAGAAAATTGTGCTAAAAATTGTTTTTATTTGGCAAATGTTTTTTCTGGTAGATTAGCCAATTTGATTGAGGTTAGTGGAATGCCAGTGCTGTGAATAATAATGTTTTAGCATGCGGTTGACTAAGTAAGAAGAATAAAAAATATTTAAAGAGGCACCTGGAGATATATCAGAGAAAAATATCATGACAAAAATAGAAGTTCAAGAAAACATAAAATCAATTTAAACATGAAAGATATTGACTTTGATTGAAATAAAAGTAAATACACGCTATAAAATTTTTAAAATATCAGTAAAAATATTTTTGTGTAATTTCTGATAATTCAAACCTAGAAAGCCCTCCTTTTATGACTCTATGCAAGCTAAATAAGATTAAAACAATGATTTGACAATAGTGTGAATGAAGTGTATTTACCTTCCACTTTTAGCATGTTGAATATATCCTGAACAGCACGATACTTTGGTTCATTTCTGAAGGCATGAGCCCAAACCTGAATTAACTCCAATATTCTATTCCTCACATTTTCATTGGTAGTGGCCTAAAGAAAGGGATTGAATTTAACGATTAAATACATTCAGAAATATGAGAGTCTAAATATAAACTGAAAAAGCAAAAAATCACTTTCAAATAATAACATACATTTTTATTCTAAACACAAATATTGGGCAATTAGAAAGGACACTTAATATGTGCCAAAGTTTCACTTTTTGCTTTGTTTTAAAAAAGGTGAAAATATTGATATATAAGATTACTTAAACATTTTCGTAAAGGTTAAATTTTTTGTTCAAAGAAATTAAAGTTTCATTCATAACACAACTCTTATTTTATTTAGCTTTAATGATATAAAGAATTTTTTTTCCATTTATTTTGATTCAAGAACATCTTATAAATTTTTTTTATTACATTAAGAATACAAATTCAAGACAAAAGAATTGCAAGTACATTTATACATCTCATAGTAAATAACATTCAATAATATGAGCTTAAGATTAGAAAAATGCACTGTGCAAGAAACTATGGCTGACAAAAAAAAGGAGGAATGAAGAAATAAGCAAACAAATATAAAAGGTAATAAAAAATCTTCACCTTAATTAAATCTTTTAACTCTTCCATGAATGGCCGGGATGCTACTTCGGCATGAATGGGACTGCCACAGTTTTTCATACAAGATTCCAATACCTAAAATTAGACAAAATTCTTAAGGTGATATAAATGCTAAACAGAATTTGATACAAATGTTAAACAGAATTTGAGCTTCCTAATAGTTCAGACATTATTTAATTAAAACTCTATAAAACTAATTTTAGAAAAAATAAGGGAAGATAGTGATTATTCATCAAATTAATGAAGAGATGAAATACATATTAAGCATTAAGGAAAAATCTTGTGAAAAAGAAGGAAAAAAAAACATCTTTTGCATATTCAAGGAGTTATCTTAATTAAGAAGTTACGTTGGCATCTTAGAAAATAAAAAGAAGATTCTTAAAAGAAGAAGAATAAAAAGAAGAAGAAGATTAGAAAATAAAAGAAGAGAAGAATAAAAAGAAGAAGAAAGGTTTCAGAAGTTGACTTCTTAAAAAAAATTAATAAAAGATTCTTACAAGCTACAACTCGAAGTAGAAGCAAGATGCTTAAGAGGAAAAATCAAATGTGTATTCGTTACAAAAAACATTTGACTTAGTGTGGAATAAGTGATTAAAAAAATATCATTTTTATACAAAACAGAAAAAAAAAGTTTGTGCAATGTCAAATGTAGGTTTGTTCAGGATTGCATAGATATCTAAGACCCTTTTTTAATAACGGCAGGCATTGAACTTCCGTTCTTTGCCTAGAAGATGCCAGAGGTGTTGCTCATTTATCATTACCTGGTGGGTACCTGTGAACAAAAGTCACAGAGGCGAGCAACATTACCCACGCCACACTGCCACAGATACCCGTTCACACGTTATGCAATAGAGGACAACACACAGAGAAATCCCTTCCTTGAGAGGGATTTGAACCTGCAGCCATTCGCAATTTCAAATTTTGCATTAATACAAATAATATTTATTCAGAAAGATTACAAATGCACAGATGCATGTAAATCCTTAAAAAATATTTATAGAAATAAATTTAATATTCCTCATGATAATACATAACTAAAAAAGCTTTTTAAAGAAGTTTCTTTCTTATTCTTTTCGTCCTTTTGTTTTTCTCCTTTTCTTTCTTTCTTTTTTTGAGACTAATGTTCATGAAAAATTCAAATATACATAAATGGTAGATATATGGAATATATACACAGAGGAAATAAGGTCTCAGAAAACAAAAAATAATGCAATAAAAAATTATAATAAAGGAGGAAAAAAATGAAAAAATTGATCAATTAATTAAATTAAGGCAAATTAATAACAAAAAGATGTGACACTTTTCTCAAACCACTGTTACACTTGGAAAAAATTAGCACTTTGTGATATTATATCAATATTGCAAACAAGGAACAATACAAATACTATGAACATCAAAAAAAATATAGATTTTTTCACTAACATAATTTAATCAAGTGAAAACAGCAACAAAATGCAGAAAAAAACACAGAAAAATGTTTTAAAAAAATGTATAGAGTTGAGAGATAATAGCATATTACAATTAATTTGAGATAAATTATCTACTTAAATTGGTAAGTTATAAAATATATGAAATTCAAGTATAACAGAGGAGAATTTTTTTTTTTAATGTGTGTTCATGCTGAAATTAAAAACTGATCTGATTGGTTCATTGCTTTGGATTCAACCAAATATTGGATACGCGTAAAGGTAATATATGAAACAGGATAACTCAGAAATTATAATTAGAAAAAAAGTCATTTTAAAATAGAACATTTTAATTCAATGACTTTTATAGAAATTAAAAACATTTACTAAATAGATTTTTTTATTTCAATTTAATGTAGGAGAAGGTTGCTAATTTTTTATAAAATTACTAAGTTTTATAAAATTACTCAAAATTTAAGAACTAATTTTATTAGTTGATTGCCCAGGATTTGCACGTAATATTAATTTAATTTATGTAAATTAAACAAAACTTTTTTTCAGAAAGAATGAATAGGGTTGGAAAACAATTAAATTAAAAGCCTTATGTATTTAATGAGAAAAACCATATGAGTAAAGGATATTCACCCTGATTAAATATTACATGAAAAGCGAGTATATCAATGAACAATTTTATATTAGTTTCTACTCATATTTTAACATGAAATATGAATAAAGGTTGATGGTAAAGTTCAATTTCTATTTTAAATTTGATTCGGTAGTGGCAGCATGCCTAAATGAAAATGGTTTTGTCTTGACGTATTTGAATTTATTCTTTACATTCTATTTAACACTGAAAGTTACAAAAACTTGCATAAATAATTTTAAAATCTTTCTGTGAATATTTAATTAAAATGTTAAATGTAAATTTGAACAGTTAAAATAAAAGAGGAATGACGTAACTAATTTGACCTTCAGTGTATTTGTGTAGGTGTATTTATTGTATTCATTGTAAAGTATTGTACTGAGTTTTTTTTAAAAAGGAGATCACGTTAAACATTAAGCTAATTCTACTTTAAATTTGGAAAGAACGTGGCACATATGATTTTACATTTTGACATCCAACATCACCTTGTCTGACTCCACATTTTAAAACTTAAGAGCGTAGTAAACTATAACTAGTTTACTGCGTTCAAAAAACCATGACAACTCAAGAAGGGATTGTATCAAACACTGTGAAGGGATTTTATATGTCACATTTTACAACAATAATTTAGAACATATTAAAAGAAAATAATAACCTGTAAAGTGTACAGAACCACATGAGGATTAGTAGCATAAAGTTTCTTCTTTATACAGGAAACAGCATATTTTGGTCTAAAATACAAAAGAACAATGTTAATAATAATAATAAATAGAAAAATATTAGCATAAAAAAGGCTAACTGTGATAAGATTCAGAAGAGTATAGCCTACTAATATTTTTTTTTTCATTATTAAGCATTACAAAATTCTAATATAAGTAATAACAGATTTTGTATGCTCTTACAACATAAATTATACACAAATAATCCGTACAATACTTAAAAAACATCAGTAAATATTATCAATGTTTATAATAGCAAGAATGCATTTGTTGATAGATATGTCAGTACATGTACTGCAACTATTCTGAACAAAAGTTATTGACAGTATTCTAAATTTCGATGACATTTTGCTACTTGAACAATAATACTGCTACAGTTTATTATTCAAAGATATTTTTAAAATAAGGAGACATTTTAGTTATATAAACTGTATGCATTTTATTTATATAAATTATATAAAGCCTTTATTTTCAATCTTACTCCCATTTTCTTCGAATTACTATAAAAAATTAATTTCAGTATAACAAAAGTAACTTTAATAATAACTATTTATTCATTATTTTATCTTTGTATTTTACGAATACATGCCAGGAATTTTGTTTACGTAACTTGGCGTTAAATAATTGATGTTTAAAAAATTATTAATGGATATTCATAAGAAATATCCACAAAATTAGTTGTTAAAATTGATTGACCTATGATTCTAAAAGGGTTTTAAATAAAAGTTGCATCTGATTTTTATCTTGGTAGATGGAGAGTATTTTTTAAAAATTAAGTGCACTTTTGAAAACCCTGATAAGGCAATTAAATAAAAGATTGCCTTGTAATCAACTTAAATTTTACTTTCTGAGCTAGTAGGGTGTTAGAATTAGGAAGTGAATGGAAAAAAAAAATCTAAAACCTTTTCAGTAAAAATTAAAAAAATAAAAGAGCATTATTTTATTTAGTTTGAATTCTTAAATTATTTGTTTTCTCACTTAAATCTTCAAAGTAATTTTTCAAAAGTTGAAGTTTTAATAATTATTAAATATTTTATGTTAGATTATTCTAGGACACTTATTTTTTTTACATAATCAATAATTCATTCAATTATTGCAAAATGGACAAATTTGATATACTTATCTTTATATGCTTCATACATATTTTAATTAAAGATTATAAGAATCACCAGCATAGAATTATAAGACAATTAATAATATAACCACTTTAAATTCTTAAAAGTAGTACCTTTTTAGATCTAAAATATATAAATTCAGTGAGTAACAAAATGCTATATAAATTGCTTTAAAAAAAAATTTTTTTTTTTAAACCATTGAATTATTATTTAATGACTTTGTTGATTTGAAAATTCGAGATCTTTCAAAAAAGGACAAATGATTTTTTTAAATGATTTAAATAAATTTTTTGAGAAGAAAATGAAGTTAGTAAGATCAGGATTTAAATCTTTGACACCCAATCTGGCATTTTTTTTCTTTAATGTTCAATTAAAATACAGATTTCCCTTGCATTCATTTTTGGCACTTAATATACAGTAGGGAACCGATTATCCGGAACGATCGGGACCATCGCTATTCCGGATAATTGATTTTTCCGGTTTTCTGAATCGCTACAAAAAGCAGTTTTTTTTTATTGTTAAACCCAACTAAAAAGAAAATATTTGGAAATAATCTTGAAAAAACGAAGTAATACACTAATGACTATTTCCAAAATGATGGTAAGGTAAACTGATGGTATCTTTCAAAAAAGGAAGAAAAATCCTAAAATCTTAAGAGGAAAAAAAAAAAAAATTTTTTTAAAATGGCGGGAAAGTTTATCGAATTTTGTTCCGGTTTTTTAGTTTTCCCGTTTACTGATTTCCGGATAACTGGTTCTGTACTGTACTAAGTGATACAAAAGAAAAATCAAATTTAATACAGAAATTAAAATTTAACCAATGTATGAAATGGCAATAATACATTTTACTATTGTAAAACACACTTATAAGTTATGGGTTAACTTTCTTGAAATATCCAGACCTGCCAACCTTAGAAAATAAAAAAGCAGGAGACTCTTTCTGTATCACGACATAGCGCAATATTGAAAATTAAACCTGATTCACACTTCCTACAAGAAGTTTATTTCAAAATATATTATTTACATTACATAAAATAGACCACAATAAGATTCTGACACTGACTAATAAAGATATGTGTTCTTACTATAAAATATAAGGTTCTATAGAATTATATTAAAACATATCTTTTGATTTTTTCAAATTTAGGAAGAAGTTCAAAACTAACAAAATATGTCAATAATGAATACAATACTTTATAAATGCATTTCTTATTTTTTTTTAACTGCTACTGTTTTAAAACTGCAGATGTTGCTGATTCAGCATTATTTAAAAAAAACCTGGCATCTATAGAAAGTGAAAAAACATCTTGCCTAATGGTGTCCAAGATATCTCCGATTTTGCCATTTCATTGGTTATTGCTGCTGTTTTGGTTCACACTCAACGTAATTTTTAGTGATGTTGCTATGGGGCAAAGTTTTTCTAAATAAATGCCCAGCATGATCTGAAGCACAAGTTGGGAAGGAAATTGCACAAATTGTTGTTTTTTTCCTCTATCTTGCACTAAATAGAAAAAAGCAGGAGAAAACACCCTGAAGGCCTGAGGGCGAAGATTTGAGGCAAAAGCAGGAGACTCCTGCTAAAAGTAGGAGAGTTGGCAGGTCTGAATATCTATTGTTGTACAATTGTAGCGGTATTTTACTATAAAATATTAAAATACAACCATGATAACGTGTGTAACTTGGTTTTTAAATAACTTGAAATCATTTTAGATTCCCAACTGGAAATATTGAGAACAATTTGAAGTACTTTTTCAATTACATGAAACTTAACATATTTAGTTTTTACAATAATCTAAAAAGATTTTCATGTATTGGATATGATCAAGAAAACAGAAATTCCATTTCTTTAAGTACAAATTTGTGCAAAAGTTGGTGCACACTCCCTCTGTAACGACAAAAAGTTTTCCGAATAAAAAGGATACTCCTTTATTATTTCATTTTATGGGATTCATTTGGTTACAAATCATGATGGTGTCTTTATAATAATATTTTGTAAGATATGAAGTGTTTTTAAACCCAATTATTTCAGAGATTTTCCTGGATTAAAAAAAGTATCACAAAATATGAAATAAAATGGCACTTTTCTGAGAAGATTCAAACTGCATAAATCTTTCTTCAATTATTGAAGGAAATGTATTCTTAGGTATTAATTATAATTTTACACAGATTGCTTTTATGAGTGTAAATAAAATTATATTATATTTATGTATTTATGTTAGGTACTGAGATATTTCAGAAATAGGTATACATTTCAAATAAATATATTTTGGTAAGGATATTAATTTCATGCGTCAACACCCTATATCACTGTGAGCTATCTCTATACTCAAAACTCTAAATATCATGTCTTTTCAAAATGACCATGCCAACAAATATTCTTTGTCATTCGAAAAGCATTTTTATTCAACACCAACAGCCTCTTAACTGTTTTGGTTTGATGTTCATGCTTGTTTCACAAGTAAGGCGATCTCCTGAAGCAATAAAGGAGGATCAACTAGTTCTATTAAGAAATGAGATTTGCTTTCTGTATTTATGGAGAAGGGAAAAACCCCTTCAGAGTTCTGAAGAGGTTTTTTAGAATCAGAACTAATCCGATTCAGAATTTTTGCTTTGATTGAAACACCATTTTTACATTCAAAGCAAATAAGTGGCTTTCATGACAACTTGGTTAACAGTTAGTTTAGCTATGTCACAAAATGAAAATATGATTAGCTGTCCATCATACATCAAAAAATTTATTTTACTTTTATTTCCTAGCAGATCTAACACATTTAAGCAAAATTCATTTTAGTAATCTTCATACAATCAAATCTATACACATCACATTTTAAGTAGTTCCTTTTGTAGATAAATTTTAAAAAGTTTCTTTTTTCTTTTTATAAATTTAAATTATAATGTAAGCATTACTGGGCATCTATAAGATGGAATTCTTCTCCCTGCCCCCTAAAAAAGCAAAATAACCCAAATAATCACACTAAATGAGCTAAGGTGAATAATTTAAAAAATATTATTGCATAATTATAAAAATTAATATACAAATATTCGCAACATTTTCACACCCTTAAAGAAAAAATTATAAATAATAAAAAACTTACTGATATATAACAATGGCAATGATAAAAACAAATTAAAATGACTCAGTTCAGCAGAAGAAATGTACTTACGGCACATCTCCTTGACGAATACTGTCACATATATTCAAAATGCTTTCCCAATCAGGTTCCAACAAAAGATGACTAGTGGCTTTTTCTAAAAAAAATGATAATAACATACTTAACATAGATCTAACTAAAAAGTATAATAAATTAAAATGGCTTTTGTAGTAATTTTGGGAAAATGGAGGAAAAAAATCATTGAGAAAAAAAAGGGTCTACAAATCTCAGGCCATGTAATTGGCACCCTATATTTTAGTACAATTTAATATAAAGGATAAAAGCTGTACATTATTTTTTATTCAAGAACATGATGGCTCATAAAAATGACACATCTTTGTCCTTGTAGGCACTGACTCTATAAAAGCAAAGAGAACTCTAAAGGGTGATTACAATACAAAATGTTTGTTCTTAGCAAATGCTGAGTTTTTAATCTCACAATTAAACTGTCAAGTTGAGATGAAACTAATTTACTGACAATTCATAAGTAAGTTTAAGCAGGTCTTTCTTCTATAAACCTTACATTTTCAGAACTGATTTGTTTTAAAAAAAAGTTGCAAAAAAATAATTTTTCAGTAACTTTGATATCATTGGACACTCATTTACTCAGAAAATATTAAAAATAATTTTTGTGAAAACAAGTTCTCAAAGAAAAGCTTAACAATTTAATTACTTTATTAGATTTTTTTATTAGATTATTTTAATAGAATTAATTTAAATTTATACCTGATTAATTTTAATAGAAATTAATCAGGTTAATTCATTTTTTCAATCAAAAGTATCTGTAAGATCATGTTAGCTTTATCAGGTAATATTATACTAGAATCATTCCCTTTGCAATTTTACTGCAATTTTGTTCTACGATGCTGGTTTTTTTTTCTTCTTTTTTTTTCCGATGTCCACCTGGAGAATGACCTAGGTCATACAGACATCTGAAGGGCAGATTTGTTGACCACTTTTTCAGGGGCACCATATTAGGTGGGCCAACGTTGCTCCCACAGTAAGGACAGATAGTACAGAGAATGAAAGAACATCCATGTCTTGCCCGGGATTTGAACCCAGAACCTCTATACAGGCCGGTCGGTTTGATGCTGGCTGTAAACTACTAAAGTTTTCTTATTAAAATATTTTTATTCTGTGAGGATTGTGGTAAGTAAATATATTGTTGTTATAAGAAACAAAGTTTAAAATAGTGCTATGGTAATGCTTTTTGTTTTTATCAGAAATTAAATTTTAAATTTATTTTCTGAACTCTGTGGAACTGTATAGTATGGGGACATATTGGTACATTTTAATTATCTAAAATAAATAAAAAATGAAAATTGATAATTTTATTTTTAGTCTTTTGTTAACCTGCATTCTAGCAGACACTTTTCCCTGAAAACTTATTTTCATAAGTCAAAAAATAAACAAAGCATACTGGGGACATGAAAATGACTGTTTTTCTGAGAATGACCCATATGTACAATATATGAAAGGTGATGACACAGAGGAGGAAGTAAGAAATTACGTGAGTAAAATAATAAATTTTGAAGAGCAAAAATATTATCAGTCATTTAATACCTTGACTGACTATAATTATACAGTTAAACCCTGCAATAGTGAGCATGGCTTATAGTGAACTCCCAGATATAGTGATTGAAATGCTCTCTCCAGTGTCTTGCTATACACGTATTAAGGTTATTTATTGTGGACACAGTGAACCAAAAAAAAAAAAAACGAAAGGAAACTAAGAACTTTTTCTGTCTTTGATTAATTTTTCTTCATATTTGTAATAATTTTGAAATTTCAACAAAATAAATACATATACCAATTTTAAAACCATCTACAGAATATATGGATGAGCATTTTTTCTTGTTTGCTTCTTTTATCTCTCTTTCCCATCCCTAAACAAAGGCCAAACCCATCAGACGTTGCACCTGTAAGGGGTCAGTATGGTCAATATCCATTTCCTGTCAGAGGCAGCGTGTTGGAATGTGTACTTAGTTATTATTGGTCAAATGGGTTGACACTAAACTGTGTTGTTAAGGCGCTCCTTTCAACACGTTTTTACTCTCAGTTCAGTTAAAGAATCCTGCAAATAAGTGTCAAAAAACATAAGTGTCAAACTATGGTGAGCACTAAACGTAAAACGTTCTCCATTGAAGATGAAATGGGCAGAAAGAGAAAAATTGAAAATGGATGTAATCAAGCTGATATTTGCAGGGATTATAAATTATCGAAATCTATAATTTGTAGCATATGGAAAAAACAAAACAAAAGGCAATTAACAATTTCTGCTCATAAAAAAAAACTTAGATGGCCATAAAAATTAAACCAGATCACAAGGATGTTGAAGAAGCATTACTGAAGTGGTTCAGCATTCGAAGAAGCCGCAATATTCCAGTATCTGAACAAATGATTCAAGTCAAAGCTGATGAATTTGCTAAGCGATTTGGTGAGACTACTTTTATGTGCTAGGATGGCTGATTAGACAGGTTTAAAAAGAGAAACATAAAGTCAGGAAAAATTATCGCAGAGTTGGAAAATTTGAGGATTGCTCATCTGCAAAAGATTACTCATTTATTTTTATTTTTACATGAGACGAAGAGTAACAAAAAATAAAAGTTAAAATATTTTTTGTTACTGCGTATCATTTTTCAGTTAATTTTGTATTTCATTTTATTGGTAATTTATTTCAATAATGAGCAATAAAAGGGAGGAGTTTGGAAACATTCGTTAAAATTGTTTGTAGAATGGATATAGTAAACTCCCAGTTATAGTGAATCAAAATTTCGGTCTCTTGAAGGTTCACTTCGTGGAGTGGAAGTGGAGTTTGACTCTATAATTAATAGCATTTTTAAATTACAGTCTTATTGAAAAAGTTTTACTGATTTATTACTTAAAAAGCACTTGATATTTACAATACTTTATATCCTCAATTGAAGTTACTTGATCTGTCTTAATCTACAGATTTTTATTCTTATCAAGTTTTAATTTATTCAAAAAATTAATTGAAATAAAATTGTTTTAAAAAAGTACGAACACATTAAAAGTAAAATGTTTTTTTAATATTAATATTAGAGTTTCTTCAGAAATATTTTTTAAAATAAAAATTAGGAAAATAGATTCCAAACCCTTACTTGTTGGAAGAATGGACATTTACAACTGAAATGGTTTTCAGTAAAAATAAATACATTAATTGGTGCTTGTTTTCAAATCAATATTATAAAAATAAAACAAGCAACATAAAATTTTCTTAAATAAATTACTATACATAGAATGATAAATTAATACTACCGAATAACTTGTCAAATGTTGAAGTACGACCACCAAACAATCCCGCCATTGCACAAATCTCTTAACAGAAATGAATCTATAATAATAAAATCTTAAATAAGTATTTGACAAATAATATTCCTTATCATTACTTCTTAAATAATAGTGTTTAGATTATAAAATAGAATCCAATTTCTAGAAATAATTTAAAAGTTCCAGAAGAAAAATATGATTTATAAATTTATTATTTTCAATGTAAAAATTTACAAATATTGTTAATCTTTCCTCATTTGAGAAAAGCCATCTAGCACCTGTGGTACATATACAGAGACGTACTGGGTCCAAGTACCCGGAGAAAATTATATTAAAGCTCTCAAGATATGATGAAAAGTAAAATTAACATTACGAGGTCTAAATTTTGGCTCCCTCTCTCAACCTAACTATTGGGACAATATTTCCCAGATTGCGGCTACCCCCTAAAGGGTTGCCACAATCCCTACAATTTTTTTTTTTGGGGGGGGGGGTCAGAAATCCAAATCTGTCAAAAAAAACTTATGTTTATTGAAAGAAAGCATGTTTTTGAGCCTGATTTCGAAACTGAAAATATCATCTGCACTAACTGATTAGTATACACAAGATTAACTCCTCAAATCATTAAGAATGAGTCCTAGAATGTGAAAATTATATTATAATTCAAGGTGGTTCATTTGTTTTTGCTGCCCTGTACATCTGTATATATATATGCCACACAGTACATCTGTACTGTATATATTAGTACAGAAACTGTTATCTGGAAATCAGAAAACTATAAAACCAGAACGAGATTTGATAAATTTTCCTGCCATTCAAAAAATTATATTTTTTTCCTTGTAAGATTTTTCTTTCTTTTTCCAAAGATGTTTACTTTACCATCATTTTAGAAATAATCATTAGTTCTCTACACTGTCAGGAGCCCTGTGGCAGAATTTTTGGTGGCTTTCTGTGACAAACCTCTCTAGCACTAATATCTTTCTGCAAGATACTTTTAATAATAACTAATATACATGCTATTAATTATATTTAAAGTAACAGAAACTTAGTATTTACAAAGAAAAGCCTATTTGGATATAATAAAATTGTATGTATTTTTTTAAAAAAATTAATATGCAATATTTTTTTATTCTAATATCATGGGCAGTATTCTGACATTTTTTAAGAGGAAAACACATGAATTATTTCTTTTTTCTTATTTTGTAAATCACAAAAAAAAATAACTAAATAATTAAAAATCATAAAATCAGTGAAAGAAAAAAAAACCCAGGTTTTTTAATTTTTCCCAAAAGGAAATAAAAAAAATCATGAGCATTTCTTCCCCTCTGATGCGTAAAAAAGGTGAATATAATTGTGGAGGAAAAAATTCTTTCAAACATTTCTACAGAAAAAAAGCTTTTTGCTTCAATACTCTTTATTTTTCATTCTTCTCAAATAAGAATAAAAAAATTAAGAACATTTCTTTCCTCTCCGATGCGTGAAAAAGGCATCTTTTCAATATAATTTTAGAGAAAAAAAAACTTCTAAAATTTTGCAGAAAAGAAAACCAAAATTTTTTACTTTCTAAAGGGAAATTCTTTCTGCAAGGACTCTGTAACGTTCTGCGACAATGTCACCGCCACGGGGGGTCAGGAGAAATAAGAGTCTTGTACCAACTATCATACCCATCATCACCACCAACTTAGTACAGTACAGAATCCGTTATCCTGAAATCAAAAAACCGGAACGAAATTCGATACATTTTCCCGACATTTTTTAAAAAAAAATTTTTTTTTTCTCATAGATTTTAGGATTTTTCCTTCTTTTTTGAAAGATGTTTACCTTACCATCATTTTGGAAATAATAATTAATGTATTACTCCATCGTTTTTTCTTCTTTGTAAGATTATTTCCAAAATTTTTTTTTTTTTTTTAGTTGGGTTTAACAATAAAAAAAACGGCTTTTTGTAGCGATTCAGAAAACCGGAAAAATCAGTTATCCGGAATAACGATGGTCCCGATCGTTCCGGATAATCGGTTCCCTACTGTAGTTTCTATTCAATCATAGCTCAGTGAGTAAGGGTGACTCATTGAACACCTGTTTTCTTGGCCCTTAAGCCTGTAAGTTGGTAGTATATCTAACCTGTTTTATATCATAATAATAAACAATTGTGTCCTGAAAAGTTTAGAATCAATCCAGTCATCACCTTTAATGTTAAGCTTATATCGATAAATATCGACTTTTGATGGCCGTAATTTTACAACCTTCTCATTTTACATGCTTAACTCTTTCCTAACAATTTCTGTTTCAGGATTTTAAAAATTCTAATTTTTATTATAACTTGTGAATTTTAAATCACACATTTAAACGATTACTTATTGACAGGCTTTATTCATGCTAATTTTATCGTAAATTTAAACGATTTTTATTCCCTATGAATACAATGTTTTGCGACATGATTTTGACGACTCTGTTACTTTAACTACGATATCATTAGGACATGCGAGTTTCGAATCATGTATTTGAAAACAGCATGTATTGATTAACGACAATTTTGGTCCATCCAAAAAGCCGGGAAATTCAGACACCCGGGATAGCGATGGTCCCGAGCATCCTGGTTAATTGGTTCTCTATTGTACTATTTTATGTGTGTATTTCAAAAAATAATTATCACTCCTTATCAAAATAAGTAGTTTATAAAAAATAATTAAAGGAATGCTATAAAACTATCACTGTGCCTAAATTTTTTTTGAAAAAAGTAAAGTTAAAAAACTGATTAATTGATAAACATTATAAAAGTTTTTTCATAATTTAAACTAAAAATTATGAAAAAAATAAACATTTAAAGGTACATTTTTAAAAACAAACAAAACAAAAGTAATTATTTAAAAAATAGTTTTAAAATCACTTACAAAATTTATTAATATATCCCCACCAAAAAAATGGAAACTTATAAAAATTTAACCAGTTGAGAATAATCTTAACAAAATAAATATTTGTAATAATAATCCAAATTAATCCAATAAACACAGATAATTTAACCAGTGTGTAATTATTATTTAAATAGTTAATTTTTTTAATAGAATATAAATAAAAAGGCACTGGTTTTAGGAATGGTGGCAAATTTTTATGAAACCCCATAAATTTTCCTTAATTAAAATTTTAAATCCAAATTTATATTACTCATTTAAATATGTACTTTTTTCTTACCCGTTCATACTGTGAGCTTTAAAATTTTTTTTTGTTAGAACTCAATACATTTNGAATTTGAAAATCTAAAATGTAGCAGATATTGTACAGTACAGAACCCGTTATCCGGAAATCGGAAAACCAAAAAACCGGAACAAAATTCGATAAATATTCCCGTCATTTAAAAAAAAAAACTTTTTTTTCCTCATAAGATTTTAGGATTTTTCTTTCTTTTTGATGTTTACCTTACGATCATTTTGGAAATAATCATTAGTGTATTACTTCATCGTTTATTTTTGTTTTTAAGATTATTTCCCAAAAGTTTTTTTTTAGTTGAGTTTGACAATGAAAAAAATGTTGTTTTTTTTTTGCGATTCAGAAAACCGGAAAAATCAGTTATCCGGAATAGCGATGGTCCTGATCGTTCCGGATAATCGGTTCCCTACTGTATATATAATTGATAAAATGGGAAGATTTTTTTTATAATTGCTATTAGATTGTTACTAATTATAATTTCTTTCATTTTTGAATAAATTCTAATAATTATACAGTATTTAATTTTTTGCAAAGATATTACTAAGTTTCCTGGTAAAAGCATGTAGTGCTTAGAACTTTAATGTTTTTATAAAAATTATCATATTTGCACCAACATGACTAAATATGAAGCGTTAATCAACTTGCTTCCAATGCTTTCCATAAAAAAGTTCATTCTAATATATTTCTAAAATGGTAGATGTATTTCTTCTATTTAAAAAAGCTGTAGAAGAATGATCTTACAACTTGTAAATCAAGAAAAGCTAAGTATCCGTTGTAGTTAAATGGAGGCTTAACATTTCCATTCTAATCGCAAATCCTGTAAAATATATCAAATTTGACAAAAAAAATCTATAACTAAAGAGAACATAAAAAAATTTTATAAAAAAAGAGTAACTTGCCTTTTAAAAAAAAAATTTAAGCAAAATTTCAACTAATTAAAAACTCTATGTTATAGAACAAAAATGTGATTCATTGCAATAAATCTTCTAAATATTTTATTGCTTAGAAATTTGCTTAACATCAAACAGAATCACCCTATTAGACAATTTATAAAAGATATATATTAAAAGAAGTGATAAAAATTTATCTACACCACAAAAAAAAAAAAAAATTAAAATAAATATTAAATTTTCAATTCTTGAAAAAACACAGATATGCTCAGCTCTTTAAGTAAACATTTTCTAATGTGAGCAAGAATTACGTTTTAATATTTTAACCTAATAAATTTAACCTAGTTATTTCTTTTTGTGGCATATTTAAACAGTTTTAATGTCATTAATTATAAATATGAATAATCTAACAAAATGTTTTTGTTTGTGTGTGATAAGACTCTTAAAGTAATGACATTTATAATACATCAACACACTGCCAAAAATAGTGCTGAATTCTCTATCACATTGTATTGCAGAGAACGATGCTGTGAGAAATGCTTTTAACAGCCTCTTGTTTATATTGCTATATAATGTATCAGCAATAAAGATAGATTGTTTAATTGTTTCATATTTTTTACTGAAATAACTCTGTTTAGTATACAAAAAACATTAATTTCAAAAATCTAGAAGGTTCTAAGTGAGATGTAATATTTTAGTATTAGAAGGATAAATTTAAAGACAGTATATAAAAAAATAGAAATTTTCAGCATTGTAAAATTATAAAGAGTAAAACTGAGTTTACTGCTGATTTTCCAAAAATTAATAAGTTATAAATTTTAACAGTTTAATAATATGTATTGAACTGTTAAGATTCTAGAAATTTATATATTTCTGAAGAAAATGACAAATGTCCAAATATTAATTAAAAAGATTTAAGTGTTGTGTCTCCCTTTTTTCCGAAACTCACCTACCTATAATTAAAAATAATACAATCACTCAGATTTTGAAATGCTACAGCTAAATATTTGAAAATGGAATTTTAAATTTAAAAAAAAATCAGTTAATTCAACAATAAATTCGATAATAAAGAGAATGCTGGTTTTTAGTCAAAAATTAAGCAATAAATTTATGTTAAGACTTTAACTGAATTAGGAAAAAAAACATAGCATTATGGTTAATGCAACACTAATTTAGTTTATCTAAATTACTAAGATAAAACAAAATCCAAAGAAATACAAAAAAGCGAATAAAATAGATGAATAGGAAGAAATATCTTGAAACACAATAACATAACTTGCTGTGCTAAAGTCAGAAAACTGCAAGTTATAAAAGATATAATAGCAACTATACCTTATATATTTTTATTATTTCAAGAAATATATTTAAATTTTAATTACAGCAATAAATAACTTTCTAATCACAAGACAATTTCACTAACGATATGACATCAGAAATTGACACAAAAACAAAGCAGACAAGCTGTAAAATAACTACTACTACAATCTAAAAAAAAATAATAATTTATTGAGCAGTAGCCGAGATACTCAAGCACAATCTGATATGCTTATTTTTACAAAAGCGTTTATCACATCACTTGAGTACGCCATCTAGGGAGAAGACCGGTTGAGGCTGAGTGGCAGCACTTCGCACTCTCGTACCACATCTCCTGGGTTCGATCCTCGGGCCGGGCAAAGTTAACTCAACCTTTCATCCTTTCAGTGGGTCGATAAATGAGTACCACGCATGCTTGGGAACTAAACACTGGGGGTTCCGCGCTTGACTGACCACCTAACCAGAGCATCTGCTTCTGCACCCCAGTGCCCAAGGTCAAGAAAACTGAGATGGGCACAGTAGGTATTGGCCCTCTACGGGCTGTTGCGCCACTGAGTTTAGTTTAGTTTCATGTTTAATAGTCAAAAATATTTTTTAAAATTTCAACGACGCTTTCTCCTAGAATTATGTTTAATGCAGTTTTTGGTTCCAGATAGTCTCCTAACTTAAAAGTTTCTGATCTATTTGAAAATCTGGACAGAAACTAGCGTAGTTCCTTCTTCTTTGACTCTCCACATGCTAATTAGCGATCGAAACGGACGATAGGTGGCGTAGATCCGAACTCTTTACCTATGGCAACTGTTACGTTTTGAAAGGCTAAACTCGATCTGCAGGCCAACGCGTGAAGGCATATCGAGTTTAGCCTTGAGTTTTGAAATAAGAATTAAATAATTTAGTAGCCCCTGAATCTCACAGTAAATCTGATTGAGACTGGATCATTCCATTTATTTCAAAGGTGGGGAAGTAGAATTTACTGCGCATCACTTCGGTGCAGGAACTATGCAGTAAATCCAATTCCAATATCTTCCTTGAAGACACATAAGCTCCTATTCTTTCTGCAAGTAGATTTTTAAAATTAAAACGATGGCGCCATTTATCAATTTCGGATTTAAATATACATTTCTAATAAGTTTTAAATTAATCTGATGTTTTTAAAGACAATATTTTTCACACTCTGATTACATTTTTTTAAAAATCATAACTAATATTAGATAGTGTCTGAAATATTTTTTTATATCTCTTCATGTATTCTTATGAAGTTGAGGTAAGAAAATCTAAGTAAAATCTAGAAAGATTAATCATAGTATAGAATTGCCCTGCCCGGTATACCCTACAGGCCTACACTGATGTTTTTTAAGGTCAACGGCCAATGCCTGGTATACATTTGGCAGGTATACCCTACACTGATGTCTTTTTTTAGGTTAAGGGCCACTGCCCGGTATACCCTACACTGATAATTTTTTAAGGTCAATAACAAAAAGATATAATCTAATATTAGAAAGATGCAATATAATACTGCCGTGCTAGAAAACGCAAAACTCTTGAATCCTATCCTCTAATATTAGAACTAATATGATATAAGATTGTATAGTATTCGATCTAACATACGAACTTTCAAAATAATCATCTATTTCATTACTTTTGGTACAGCGCCACATTTTTGCCAAAGATTATCCCATATTATTAATAAATAAACATTTATTTATGAAAGAAAACAATAAATTAATCTACTTAAAATATCATTTTTAGCCAATGCAAAGAAAGCGAAAAATAATATTAGTGGTAGTTTGCGAACGATTGAACTCGAAAAACTTTTTCAACTGTTGAGTTGTATGTCTCTTCTGTACGTTTGTTTACGACGCCATATTGTTAGAGCTTGGTTGCTTTCTTTTCAATTACATAAGGTTTTATAATTTAGTAATTATTTGAAAACTTCATACATTTCAATGATAGTTACATGAAACGTTTAAGAAGTATTGTAAGTAATGTTTTTGCTTTAGTTAAAAATCATGTATCTAATAAAGTCAGTTAATATTATGAATTGTGATCATTTTGTTCGCACATAGTTCTTCTTCATAGTTCTTCTACATAGACTTCTCTGTTAACTTATTGTCTAGCTAGTAGCTATAAATAATAAGTAATGTAATTAGTTCAAAATATGCTTGTAAAACAACGTTCGCTAAGTAATTCGACTATGACAAAGTTTTTCTGCTAACAGTGAAAAAGATAAAAATAATTGTCTGTAAGCAAATTAGTCAAGTTAAAACAATTAGAAAATTAATAATCTGCTACTTTTAGCTCAGTTTAAACCATTACATTCTAGAATGTTTAACGTTCAATACAGACAATGTTGTTACAGTATTAAAATTTCATGTCTGAAATATTGTAAAACAAGGAATTAAACATTTTTATTTAGATTTCTTAGGAAGATTTCAGTATCGTGATCTGTCCCGCCAAGTGCAATCGCAAAATAAACTCATGTTTATGAAAATTGCAACACCATGAAGGAATCGTCATAATTAAATGAAATTTAATACACAGTTGAGTGGTAGTGGTACAAATAAATGGTTAAACTTTCAAATCAAACAGACAATAACAAGAGATCAAAATCAGTATTTTGTGTAGTCTCCACGCGCCGCAATAAGTGGTGCTACACGACGTGGCATGGAGTCAAGCAAACTTTGAATGGCTGTCTGAGGAAGAGAATTCCATACTGTTTGCATGCGTACCCAAAGTTCGTCTGTAGAAGCAACAGGACGAGGATCACGAGCGAGACGCCGATCAACGAAATCCCACACATGTTCAATCGGCGACATATCCGGGGAATAATCCGGCCAAGGAAGAAGTTGTACCTATCGCTATGCAAGGAAGGGTTGAACAGTCCTAGCAATATGAGGGCGGGCATTGTCCTGTTGAAATACAGCACCTGGCAAGGCTTGAAGGAAGGGAACAGCTTGGGGCTGTAGAACTTCACTGATGTAGTGGTTGCTGTTCAGATTACCCACAATTCGTAGCAATTGAGATCGTCCATGATATGCTATGGCACCCCGGACCATAACTCCGGGTGTTCGTCCACTGTGGCGTTCGATAACGCACTCCAGAAGGTGACGTTCACCGGCATAGCGTCTGACACGAATGCGGCCATCATGGTATCACAAATTGAAACGAGATTCGTCAGAAAACACGACACGCTGCCAATCAGCGCGCCAGTCCCTATACTGGTTGGCCCAGTGCAGCCGCAGGTGGCGATGGATAATCGTGTGTGTGTGTGTGGGGGGGGTCCCGTATAAAGGATTCCTAGCGCGCAGTCCACGCTGCAGCAGACGTCTACGAAGTGATGAAGCACACAATGAAACACCTGTAGCTATTGACCACTGTGCTGCCAGTTGTCTAGAGGGAGCCGTACGATTCGTCAGCGCGATGCGGATCAGGTTTCTATCATCGCGAGCTGACGTGACATTTCGGAGTCCACTCCCACATTTCCGAGTTGTCTGACACTCGTCCGTCCACTGCTTCCAAACTTGCATCACTGTGCTGCTGTTGCGCAGCACACGAACCGCTACTGCACGATAAGACAATCCAGCTTCACGAAGGCCGATGGTTCTCTCCCGCTCAAACTCCGTCAGTTGTTGAAATCTCGCTCTTTTTCGTCGAAGAAGCATAAGTAATGACTAAGCTAACGTTTACCACAAGCAGATAACCACCGATAGCCATAAACGCCTCGCTACAGCCGTCTGTTTGTTCGGATCCATCAGCCGTTCAGAGGGCGCTGCTCGGCGCTGAGGATCTGAAATTCTAATTATTTGCATATCATGTTCTACTTTGCATTTCCTGAAAATTTCAGCTCTCTCGCATAAGTCCTTTATGGTGTTGCAATTTTCCCAAACATGAGTTTAGATTTTAAACTTGCAATTTTTTTTAAACAAAAATAAGTATATGTTTGCCCGGGATTAAGCCTTTTGAGTTTGTCCTATTCTGTAATGCTTCTTTTAGTTAATAAATATTCATTAAATATTTAATATGATAATAATTAGTCGAATACATAATTATTGTTCAATAAAGTTCTTAAATAAATTTCTATTAGATATAATCTGAGACTAAAAATTTAATTGAACAATTAAAAAAATTAATGTTATGCATACTGACATTTAAAAAACGTCATGTAAACATATTTGGGGGGAGGGGCGAACTATATTTAATATATATTTACAACTTTGAAGTATGTGAATAGAGAATTCTCCTTCTACATGATTTTTTCAACCATGAATTGATGAATTCTTATATAGTGTCTTTTTACATCGATGTTCTTTTAAATTAATCGAATTTTAAAATAAGCAATGGAAGAAAATAAACAATTGTTTATTTAACACTTTTCGCCACTTTTTTTGTTGGCTTGTCACGAAGAGTTTTGCAGTTCGAATTTTTTTTTCATTGCAATGATAAAGATAAAAATAAATTTTTAGTAAACAAATTTGCCATGTTAAAATAATTATTAATTAATCGACTACTTTTTAGTTTAAACCATTGCATTTTAGAATGTTTGAAATTTTTTCATTATTTATGTTATAGATTATTTGAATTTCCTGTTTAATATATTGCAAAATGATGAGTTAAATATCTTTATTTTCATTGTATGATTATAGACAGATGTTTTTGATATATGATTAATTATAATTATTTATAAATGATAGCAAATAAGCAACAATATGGTCTATTCAAAGTGTGTTTAAGTTAAATGAAGAAGGGTGCTTTGAAAGGTGTTAAAATTTTTATTTATGAAGTTTAAAAAATTTTTTTATATATATATTACAACAATAATATATATAATTAATATATATATTACAACTTTGAAATATGTGAATTGTTAAAGAATTCTCCTACATGGTTTTTTCAACCATAAATTGATGAATTTGAATTCTTATAGTATCTTTTTATATTGATGTACTTATACGATTTTTAAAATAAGCATTTGTTTATTTAATATTTTTCGGCACTCTTTTTGTTGATTTGCCATATAGCGAGTAGTTTTTTTCTGGTCTAATAAAAGAAGTTGAAAGGTTTTGCAATTTGATTTTATTTTTAAATATATGATAGTTTACTTGGGAGTGCTTATGAGCTAAATTCTTTTAGTTGATCTCCTTCCCACTGTGTTATTTTTTGT